TGTATATATATATATATATATATATATATATATATATATATATATACATATATACAGTGCTTCATATAAAACATTATTATTATTATTGATTTTGATGATGTAATTTATTAGTAATTTAAACTTCACAAGATGTATTAATATTATTGCGACTGATTGTATATTATTCATATAATTAATATATATATGTATATAAAAAAAGTATATTAAAAAATTGGATTTACATTACAACTAATATTGCTAGGAAAAATTATTCTTAAAATATTTACTTCTTTTTGAAAAAAGAAAAAAATTAAATATTTTATTTTAAAAGTAATTTACATTTCTTATTATAATTTTTATTAAAAATAATTAAATATTAGATTTAATAATATTTATGTCAGCAATATAAGATGTAATGAAAATGCAGTAAATTAATAGCTTATCACAGAAAAAAAAATCGAGTATGATTATTATTGTCTTTCTATTATTTCTTTTAGATAAAAGTAGTAATTTATTATAAATTAACAAAAATTCATTTTTGAATATCTGTGATTTGCTCAATTGAAATATAATATCTTATTCTACATAATTATTGTATTAAAATAGAAAAAATATTGCTGTTTTTTATATTTTATAAATGTAAATGATATATATATATATAGTAATTTTTTTTATGTATATATATCATATATACACATGTATGTATGTATACTATACATATATAAAGAGAAAAATATATTTAATTTACAAAAATCAAATTTTTAATTTCTATTTATATTTTTAATTCTATTTTAAACATATATATAAAAAATAATTATAAATATGTTTAACTTATATATTATAAAAAATAAGTATTAATGAAATAATATATTTTAATATAATAATATTCGAAGTATTTCATGTGTTTATTATTATTCATTCTTTAATTAACTTATAAAAATTATGAAACATACTATTATTTAGATTACATTACTATAATCATATATAAATAAAATATTTATAAGTACTTACCAACATATTTAGTTGGTTAAATATAAATATATAACATGAAATAATGACTAGAAGATTAAATATATATAAAAAAAAAGAAAAAGAGAATTTTAATTGCTATGGAATGCCAGATTGTAAATTGCAACATTGACTAGGTGGAACTGTCCAATTATATTGATAACTCATACGATTTCTTATTTCTTTTATACACAATGCTCCAGATGCTTGATAATATTCATACATATTTTTCATATTTTCAATAGTCTGTTTATGCATAACTATATATTGATTAGAACATCCACGTGATCTATATTCTGTATCAAATCGTACATCATGTTTTCTTTCAATATTTGCCAAAGGTGCTATCCAAACTCCAACAGATACATCTTCTGCTTTGTATAATCTAAAAATATATTTAATAATAGAAAATATATATTATATAATATTTCAATACTAATTAAATTTTATATTTTCAAAATCTTACTTGAAAATATCTGCATTTGTTGCAATAAATTTTACCAAATTATAAGATAAAACATATCCTCCTCCAAGTGCATAAGGAAGATAATAATCACACAATATCCAATCTATCTCTTTCCATGGTCCACTTCTTTTAACTTGTGCCTTTCCATTAAAAAAACCCCAATATAATTCTTTTTTTGTTCCTTTATTTTCCCATTTATCTAACTCTCTTAAAATTTTATGTATCAAAACAAATGTATCATCATCACATTTCATTAAGAAATCAAATTCATAATATTCATAAGTTTCCTTGAATGCATATAAAACTTTTTTTGTTAAAGTTCCATATGAATCTGGTAGCCTTGATAATAAAAGTAAATCATTAAATTTTTGTTTTTCAGAATGTAAAGTTTCTCTTTGCTCTGGCAATATATCTAAAGTTCCTATTACAAAAAAATGTTTGACTGAGGCTTGTTTTTGTGCCAACCATGTTTTTCTAATAGTTGCTCTTCGTTCTAAGTTATCAGGACTGGAAAGTATAAGTATTATAAATCTAATTTTTATTTTATTTTTTGCTTCTTGTTCATTAGAAGAACACTTTGTAGAAGGTAAATAATGTACACATAATAAAATAATCAACAATATGATTAACAAAATTGGAATATTTAATTTTATGTGAAATTTTTTCTTAATCATCATGAATAAACTTTTCGATGAAGATTTTAATGGTAAAAGTGTCACAGAATCCATATTTGCGTAAATGCGTTTTTATTCACATTCTTAACCTCTCTAATGTTATCTTTATATATATAAAATTTGATATTTTTTCAAATACTTATTTCTTAAATTTTAATAGAATATATTATTTAATCATTTTAAAATCATTTTAAAATTTGTGATTTCTTTTTATAATATAATGTAAAATTTAAATGAAGTTTATAAAAAAAAATCGCCAGAACTAGTTGATATAGAAAAACCTAACTTTCTTAACAAGGAAATCAGCTGTTAAAATCTATTAAATAAGTACTAGATATAAAAATTATCTCTACTATTATTATAAAAATTTTAAATATAAAGATAAATTTTTAATAAAATTAAAAAATTATTGAATGTGTTATAATTATAAATCACACGTAAAATATTAAATAATATTTCTTTATTTTTTCCAAAAATTAATTTAAATCTAAAGCATTTATAAAAAGTATATAATTATTATATTTATCGCATAAATTTTATTTAAATTATGAATTCGATTTTTAAATATATAAAATTTTATATTCAATATTATTTCTTATTGAACTAAATATCCTGTTAATAAATAACCTCCTGTATCACTACTTAAAATATCAGGATGTGTTCGATCAGATAATACTTGATATGAGCGTAAGAAATTAGAAAAAAGTCTTAGATTAATAACATTTTGTTTTTGTTTTAACATCATATAAGTCTCTTGTAATGATTCTCGATACATATGATAAATTACAAATGGTCTAGATGCTCCTAAAAATGGTAGAAGAGCAATAATGATATTTAAAGGATGTTCTTTAGCAACAATAACTAATCCCCGAGCTTTAGAATTTGTAACAAGTTCTACTGCATGTTGCGTTTCCAATAACCATTTTGGTTCTTTGCAGGCGTTACTTCTGCAAATTTGCATTCATTACATTCATTTAATTTGCGTTTTAAATTACTATCTATGCTATGATCAATCGTTTCATTTGATTCATTAACATTTTCCGAATTTCGTTCTTTAATATTTTCTTCTTTTATTCGCGAAATTTTATTATTGATGTGATTTTCATTATTATTTTTACTTTCATCTTCTTTTATTTTATTTAACAAATCATTATGTTTTAAATTACATTTTTTTGAAATGTTATTTAAAACAGCATTTTCACCTTGATAATATAGTCTTAAAAAACTGTAAATATTAACATTAATTAATCTTGTTAATTGTTCTGTAGAAAAATTCATGGCATGAATAAGAGCAGCTTGAGGAACATTTCCAGGATGCAAATTGATCAAATATCCTTTTGTATTTGAACCTATTCTATTTAACATTGCAGCAGCTGGCAAGCCATGTGACCCACTATCATATAATATATATAATCCATCTGATTGAACATCACTATATGACAATAATTGCGACAAAGAATCCATTCTTAAATTTCCAATTTTATTATGATCTAGCTTAAAATATATATCATGCAATGAACTTATATTTGGTTTCCATATTGTTATATATCTAAAATATTTCTTTTCCTTCTTTTTCAAATATTTTTCTTGAGAATATTCTGTTCTATCTAAGAAAGACTTATTATTCTCAATCAGGCTGCTTACTATTTCTTTACTACTTTTACCCGATTCTTGAAGTTGAAATATTTCTTCTTTAGAAAGTTTTTGTGACTTACCATCATCAACTATAGAACGATTATCAGTACCACTTGGTAATTCATTTAATAAATCATTTAATGATTCTGTTTCTAATACCTCTTTTAAAAAATATGTTCGTTTTTTGTCTTTCATTGGTATCATTTCAAAAGTGGTCCAAAAACGTTTTCCAATAATTTCATGCATTTGTACTAAATCTTTTCCCAACATTAAAGTGCCATCAATAGTTACTTTATAAATTTTTTTGAAATTTAATTTTTTTACTATTACATATTTTCCTATAGTAATTATATTATCTTCGTTTTCACACATATTTATTAATTTTCTCTTTTGTTTGATTTGATAATTCTTCTTAAAAAATACTATAACTTCGAGTATTCTTCGAATTAAATTTGTTTAAATTTCCTATAATAAATTTATGATATTTTATTTTGATGAAATTTTACAATTTCTATTTTAAAATACAGTCACAAATGAATTTGAGATACGACTTGATCTAACCTAAACACATGAGTGTTAATCAACACGACATTGAAGACACACGCGTATCACCTGTTATTAGAGGTTATTAATGTAATGCTAAGAAGAAAATAATAAAGATTTTATTCTCTTTTTTCTTTATTATATTTATTATACGTTTTATTGTGTTTCTAAAACTATTAAAACAAACATTATTTAATTTTGATATATAAATAATTTTTCCTTTCATATTTTAATTATATTATTATTACATGTGTTTTGTAATAGGTGAAGAATGTACCCTTATAAAGAATTTCAAGCAATTGTGCTTGCTGCAGGAGGAGGATCTCGTATGACTGAACTTACTCGAGGTCAATATAAATGTTTATTACCAATTGGAAATATACCAATGATTTGGTATCCTCTTCAATTATTAGAACGGGCTGGCTTTAAAGAAGCTATTGTTATTATATCTGAATATATGGAACACAATATCTCATTAACGTTATGTGATTTAAATCTTAAAATTAAGACAGATATTGTTGTTGTCAAAAATGCAGAAGATATGGGAACAGCAGATTCTATTAGACTTATTCATGAAAAAATTCATACAGATTTTGTAGTGATTTCTTGTGATTTAATCACTGATATTGATATATGTGAAATTTTAAACCTTTATAGAAAACATAATGCTAGTATTACAGCATTAATGTTGCCTGTTCCTAAAGTACCAGATGATTTTATAACTCCAGGTCCAAAAAACAAACAAAAGCCTGAAACTGATTTAATTGGTATCTGTAATGAAACTGGTCGTTTAATTTTCTTAGCATCTGCATCAGATTTCGAAGAAACAATAAAAATTACACAGACATTACTCAAAAAACATCCAAGTTTTACTATGCATTCAAAATTAATGGATTCCCATTTATATGTTATTAATAAATGGGTTTTAGATTTTCTTGTACACAATAAGTTAGTAGAACTAAATAGAATTAAAAAAGATTTTAATAATACAACTTTTTAATTTTTTAATAATGAACTATTTTTTTTTTTTTTAGAAATTTTACTACATTAAAAGGAGAACTTCTTCCGTATATCGTTAGCAAACAATTTTCGAAACCTCCCAAACAATGTCTAGATGATAAAAATACTTCTATAGTACAAATGAATTTAAAGGAAGATGTTTATCGTTTTGCAATTGAAAAACCACTTGATGAATTAATTAGAAAAATGTCAGCATTCAATGATCATAATACTGATATAGAAGATGCATATCACGGAGATATAATACGATGTTACGCTTATATTGGTAACGGAAAATTTGGTTTGAGAACAAATACTATACAGATGTATCATTTTGCTAATACTAAGGTGAAATTAATAACAATTTATTTTATATATAAATAATTTTATTTTAAATATTTCATTGATTATTAAAATTTTATATATTATTATAGATTATATTATTATATTATTATAGATATCAGAATGGTGGAATGAAGATAATGATGGACAATCATTACCAAATATTGCAACTACAGCAATAATACGCAGCACACAAATGCAAGATTGTCGTATAAATAATAATTCATTTATTGATGATAAAACATCTATTAAAAATACTCATATTGGACAAAACGTAACTATTGAATCAAAGACTAGAATATCTCAAAGTGTTTTAATGGAAGCTGTAACAATCAGGCAACGGTATTATTTAAATAATTTAACTGTGTTTATTTATAATTCTTCTTAATTATAAAAAGAATATATGCTATCTATAAATATTTTTTTACAGATGCATAATACATAATTGCATATTGTGCAATGGTTGTTTTATTGAAGAGGGCAGTGAATTGAAAGATTGTATAATTGGTCCTATGCATGTTGTAACATCTGGTAGTCAATATTCTCGTGAAGTACTTACTGATTCAAATGACCTAATAGTAATTTAATTATTCACAAATATTAAATATATTATTAAATATATTATTCATTTTAGTATGAATTAATTTGTTTTTATAAGAGTTTGCAAAAGTTATAATTAAAATTATGCTATTTGGAAATAAAAGTAAAATAATATAAAACGCATTTTTATAATATAATTATATAAAACAAAAAATAATTTTTGTAATAAGAATTATTTTTGGAATGAGAACCTCTGTTTTCGTTAGTATGGACGAAGGAACATAAGGTTTTGGAACAACTAACCATCTCTTTTATGTTACTTCTTCATGCAATATGGTAAGTGCATTCTAATATTTTAAAATCTAAATATTATAAAGCAATCGTAAAAATTATTTGTTTGAAAAAATATTTAAAACTTTTTTTTATTGTATGTAAAAATAATTTAAAATTATAGTTTTGCTATAAATATTTGAAATAAATGTGTTATTAATATGAAATGACAATTGAGGTTATATGATATTTCTGAGATTGAATAATAGATTTATTTCGATTTAAAAATTGCTTATTACTTTATTAGAAAAATCAATATTTTCAATGAAGTTATCGAAAATTATAATTATATATAAAAATATAAATTTCTAATACTCAATATATGTAATAATTCAATCGTTTATATTCTTTTTTGAATGTTTATAAAATTGGAGTTTTAAATTCTGAGATAATTTTAATAATATATGATTAAAAATTTATATTATAATAATATATTTAATTATAATTAAAAATTTTATAATTTTAAATTAAATTAATATTTATAGACGAAGGGTACATCGAGCTTTGGTAAGCGACGAAATAAAACACATACTTTGTGTAGACGATGTGGTCGCAGTTCATACCATATTCAAAAATCACAATGCGCTCAATGTGGATATCCTCAGAAGAAAATGCGATCGTGTAAGATTTTTAAAATTATATTTTCTACAACTTTTTTTTAAAATTATTTTTCATTGTTAAAAGAGTAAAACAAAGAATTTAAAAAAATGACTTTTTGAACTCAATATACGTATTTAATGTAAAATATAATTGTATTTTAAAAATATTAATCATAAATTTCTGAAAAAATAGTTTATCATATTATCTTAATTTATAGATAATTGGTCTGTGAAAGCTAAAAGAAGGAAGACTACAGGAACTGGTCGTATGCGTTATTTAAAGATTGTACGTCGTAAATTCAAGTAAGTTTAAATATGAACTTATAATAAATAGTGGAAAAATTAAATATTGATTTTCAAATAAACAATCAAAACTTTTTCTATTATTATTTTTTATATCATTTTTTTCAGGAATGGATTTAGGGAAGGTTTACCAAAACCTAAATCAGTTCAAACTAAATAATTTTAATTTTTACTATTGTATTATATATCTATAAAAATTTGACATTTAATAAATAACTTAAAAAGTCTGAATGCCTATTATATGTTTTAAATTAAGTTTTTTTAAAGTAAAATAGTATTAAAAATAATATTTTTATGAGAATTTGATCATGAATTAGTGAATCTCATTGTGATTAAGTAACAGATCATTTATATTATTTATATTTTTAGCAAACAAAAATCGAAAAAAAAAATGTTTAAATAAGTAAAAAGTGAATGGTGGGGGCATTACTTACTGCGCAAACGCGGCACAACTTTCGATTACATTCTGTCTTATAAAAACTACAGTTTCGCAAATTTCTATTCAGTAACGCGTAGATTTATGTTGCAAAGTGATAATATCTGTTTTTAAAATCTAATATATATATATATTATTATTTTTTAATTAATTCAAACGGTATATTATCATATCATGTTCAGACCACAATTTTATCTTCAGAAAAAACGAATAAAAATTTAGCAAAATTAATATTTTAAATAAAATATAGAAAGAAAAATATTCTTAAGATAAAAAACATATATATTTGAAAAATTATAAATCAATAATAAGAAATTTATTAGATGATTTATTAATAAGAATTATTTAATAGATTATAGAAATATTTTAAATTCAATGACTGTTTGGAGGAAATTGTTCGGTAAGCGTTATAAATATTTGATATATTAAATTTAACTTAAAATTTCTTAAAATTGTTAATAATTGAATTAAGTTCAAATTGTATTGATAATTAAAGAGTCTAGATAAAGATATAAAAATTATAGGTAAATATCTTCTAGTCACAAACACTGTGAGCTGTGGCTTAATGATGGCAGTAGCAGATATTATTCAACAACGTAATGAATATTTAAAAAAATATAAATATTTACCAAATAGAACTTATGTAATGGCAGCATCTCCAGATATAGAACAAAAATTTCATAATTTAAAGATTTCTGATATTTATATGCACGATTATGTGCGAACTAAAAACATGATGATTGTAGGCCTATTTCAAGGTCCCTTTCATCATTGGTTCTATATGATTTTGGAAAAGATATTGCCCGGAAAAAATGCTGCATCCGTTATTAAAAAAACTTGTCTAGATCAAACTATTGCCAGCCCAATTTGTCTAGGAATATTTTTTATTGGCCTTGGCCTTTTAGAACATCATAACATGAAAGAGATTCATGAAGAGATGAAAATGAAATTATACGACACGTGGAAGGTACATATTTAGTTTTCCCGAACTATTATTACTCTTTCTAGTAATATATTTAAATATGTAATTATAGTTTTCCTTTCATCCTACTTATGTTCAGGTTGATTGCTGTTTTTGGCCTCCAACACAATGTGTAAATTTTTTCTTCATACCGCTTCGCTATAGAGTATTATATACTAATTTTATGACAATGATTTATGACATTTTTCTGTCATATATGAAATATGTAAGTTTTTTTTAATTTTTTCATAATAATACTTTCGATAATACGATATAATTTAATATATTATATTTATTATTTTCTCTAATTCTCTGATTTTCTTTGTAGGACGTGCAGTATTAATAATAAACATTTCAAAACTAGTCTATTGTACAAATTATAATTTTTTTAGATGATTTTCCATATTTTATAATATACATATTTTTAAATATAAATACCACCGAATAATATATAATATAATATTCAATGTATAATAATGTATAATGTATAAATTCAATGAAAAAAATGTTATCACAAAAAATAAAAAAATTTTTGTTTTTATACAAAAAAAATCGTTTATAATTTTTAAACCTTATTATTGTTTATTAATTGGAATTAAATAACAATTTTCTAGTATTTATTAATTGAAAATTAAATGATACGTTATTATATTTCAATATATTTATTTTATTATCGAGATTTACTATAATATTAGAAGTTTCGAAATTTTGATCCTTTAGGTTTATTTTTTAAGTCCAAACAATGTTTATCAATATTTGTCAATGTGCAAATAAGTCTGATGCATCTTGTAGGAATATTTATTCCTTATCGCCCGTAACAATAGTCCATCGGATGCAACATATTTATTAGAGTGACAGTGTTTATTTGTCATTTGGCGACAATGGGATTACCAAGCCTTCTAAGCCGTCAGTCGCCAGTGAACAAACACCGATTATTGATGTGTAAATATTAATAATAAACCAAGCTAACAATAAATATGACTGCTATATAGATATCGATGCATTTTCCAAAATTATATTACAATAGAATGTAAATAAATATTAAAGAATATATAAAGTATACACAGGACATATATACATTGTATACATGGAATATAAAAGATATACATGTAGAAAAAGAAAAGATTTTAGTTTTTAAATAAATATCAACGCTTTTTATTAAAATAATAAGAAAATTCAATTCAATGAATAATTTTTATACATATTTTATTTCTTTTATGTAATAATTTCTATTAACTTGTAATCAATAATATAAATTAGGTAATACTGACAATTATATACAAAATTTTTCTTAATAATAACGTGATTGATTAAATAGTTTCTGATATAAATTTTCGGTAAAAATTTTAACAATTTGTAATAATTATAATAATATATAATAATAGTAAATAATTAAATTCAATTGAATCAAAATATAATTTATAATGATAATGGACCAACTGATTGTTTATATATTATTTATAATAGAAATTGCATTGATTCATTATATCGATTTTTATTAATTTATAAACAAATTATATATTCATGAAAGTTTATAATTAAACAAATACATTAAATAAATTAAATGTATTTTATTTTATATAAAAATACGAAAATAAATGCATTTTTTTAAAATAACTATATAGATTTAATAAATATTTAAAATTGTTTAAGCTACAGTTGTAGATTTATATTTTAATAAAAATATCAAAACAGATAACAAAAAGATATTAAAACATTTATATAAGAAACGAAAATTGAATAATATTCATTTATAATCATCCTTGGTTAAATTGTTTGCGAAATGGAGGGAGATCCAATATTCGAGCAGTACCAAGAAGCATTAAAGCTGTAAAAATTTTATAAAAAAAATGAATAAAGTTATATAAATTTAAGTAAATAAATAAAGTAAAATTACATTTAATATTAATAAATTTTAAAAGTATATTTTTGCGTATAAAATTTTAACCTTAAAATTTTAAGTATTTAAAACCAATTTATTCTATTAAAATTAAAATTAAAATAAATTTATAAAAATAATAAATAATATTATTTCTAGTTCATTATTAAATGATTTTTAATAATAATATTTTAAAAAGTCATTTAATTTTATTAGTGTATAAAAATAGAATATTAATACTTCAAAAAAAATCTACGTTAAAATTTATGTATAAAAATAGAAAAAAAAAATACATTACCGCTTCCAATTGAATACATAATAGTTTTTCCAATCTTTTTCTGAAATTTTTTTGAATGATACGCAACATATAAACCAGAACCAATAAGACCACAACCACTGAAAATTCTACAACCTAAACAATCACGATTTCGATTGTTAATTATATTTCTCACTGTAGATATTTCTTGCATTTTTCACTTTATATAATTATACAATAAAATATTAAAATCTATATGATGAAACTTCTTCAAAAGAATAAGCCTAATTTTATATAGGTTATGTTTAAACTGACATTTTTGTTCATAATAGATCGAAATAAATCGAACTCGATTTACCATATAAATTTTTGAAATAGTATGTTAGAAGATAAACTATTGTTTATATTTAGATAATGAAAATTATGAAAAATTATTTTTTATTATAATTTTATATACAAAATACAGAATGAATTTTTATATTTAAATAATATTTAAATAAATTAACTTATAATTTTTTTTTCCTAAGAAGGAAATAATTAATATAGAAATTTATTAAACTTAATGATATGTTAAAGGAATAAAAATTTAGTAAATTAATTATTACATATACTTATTTAAGTATAATCTTATTTATTTTTTAATCAAATTTGAGTATACAAAATTTAAATCAGTCAATTTTCCTACAATTTTAATGATATTGAATTTTTTATTATATTTATGAAAGAGAAAAAAAAAAGAATAAATAAAATCTGGTTTATTGTAAAAATTGTAAGAATTTTGACAATTTTCATTATTTTCTTTTTCTAATTATTCAATAAGTTTTTTTGCTTTGAAAAAGCGCCTTAAGTAAAGAACTTGCCAAATTGAGAGTCCTAGAAGCCAACACATGGAGAATATACTAAAATACAATACTCGAGTATTTGTTGCTTCTGAAAATTGAATAAAAATCAATCTATTACTTAATAAAATTTGTTATGTTTATTTTTATATAAATTATATTTTATATTTATTATTTAATTTTTATAATTTTCTATTACCATTTGTATCTCTCATTTCTTCTTCGTTCTTTCGCATTCGAGCAAAATCTTGGACAATAGCTTCAGATAAGTCTTCAAGACGTTTCAATTCAACTTCAGAAGGTTTAAGTTTTGCTGCTTCACCAATCTTAAATAAAAACATGTAGATGATATTATTATTATTTTAAAATTTAGAAATTAAAATCATTAATTGAAATCATTTAGATTATATATTGATTATGTTATTAATTGTAAAATGTGGAAAATTTATCTTTCGTGTTAATATATTTATCATAAATAATATGCAACTTTTATTTATGTATGCAAAATAATTTTTAAATGCGTGAACTCTTTATTCTTATAATTTTTTAAACTTTCTATTAATTCATGTTAAAATTCATGTTATTACAAGCCACATTAATAAAACCTTACTACCATACTTTTACTACCAATTGTATTAATATGAGATATTTGTAAAACAAAGAAAAAACATAAAATATTGTGAGATTATTCTTAAAATCAACTTAAGAAAATAGATCTTAATAATCCATAAAATAAATTGAAAAATGGAAGAAAGAAAATAAATATAACTTGTTTTTATTAATATTATGTTTTAAATTATTTTAAAAAATTTAATATTTTTGTAACAAGATTAGAGATTATCAATTTTTATTAACATTCAATAGATATTTTGTTAAAATTGAAATAAATTTGATAGATAAAAATTATGAATTTAAAATATAAAAATTATTTAAAAATTAAATTTGTTAAAATTTGTAAAAATAATTTGAAATTTGAAATATATAAATAATAAAATCATTTAAAGAACTTACTCCTTCATAATTCTTTGCTTCGATTCCACGTTTTGTAATTAAATAAATTTCTTGTTTAATCTGTTTAATATCTAAAAAACATATTTAATTAAAAAACATTTTTTAATTAAGATAAAAATTTTAAATAAATTATTATTAAATAAATATATTTATTAAATAAATTATTAAATAAATATAATTTTGTTTATAGTGCATACTGCCTGAAAAAGACGGTTGTATGGCATGTGCCATAAAACAAATCTCAAATGTATCATAAGTTTCTGTGACAAATGAAAATTTCAATATCTTTCCATGGGGAATATCATCCTTTTTTGAAAGAATATCTCCTTTTGAATCTTTTACCTATTAAATTAAGTATAAAAAGATAATTAATATATGATATATGAATATATGCAATATATAAATATTAGTAATTCTCATTATAATTTGTTAATAAAATTTATTAAAAAGTCGAAAATTTTATTTTAAATAATTGAAAAACAATATAAAGTACCATATGTGAAAAGTTAACCTAATCTAATCTTAACCTTAATAGATTATATTTATTTCATTTCAAACATAAATACTATAAAAAATTGGTGAAACTTACAACATATTCAGTTTTAACGGCTGATGCTAAAGAGACTTCATATTCTCCAGCAAGTAAAACATTTGCTTGAACTTCTTCTTTTAAACATTTCATTGAATTCGGTTCAAGGTAAAATCGTATACTATGTACATACGCGAGCAACATTACGAAAATGAATATTATAATTCGCATTTTTCATAAAACTATATTAATTAACTTTAATAAAAATTTGTAGCAATACTTAATATAAATGATAAACCATCAATATATTGATGAGTTGGCAGCCATTAAGTATTTCAAACAATTTGTGATTCGTGATATGACAAAAACATGAAAAATACTATACTAATTATTCAAAATATTACCATAGACAAAGCTCAGAATAGATTATTATTTTATAAGATTTTATGCTGTTTTTATACTGAATTATCTATACAAGAAATCAAAAGTATAACTATGTATGCAGACTAGATACATATCTTATTTATGTTCTTAGATTTACCATAGATAAGATATAATATAGACTTAGTTAGTATAGACTTAATTTAATATATTTTCTAATTCATATTTTAGGATTTCTTTTAACATTTTCGTGTTATTTTCAACGTTATTGATTTATTCAGAATAAAATCGCAGTAAAAATAATGATGAAAAATTAAAATTAGATTTTAATATAAAATTAAAAAAAGAAATAATTATAAATAAGAACAAATATTCTATTATATTTTGTAAATGTATACCAAGTACTGTATTTTACATATTACGAGAGCATTCTCTTAAAGATTATAAAGTCGAATTTTCACAAAGAAAAAATTAAAAATTAAAATATATTATAATTTTGAAAGAGAAATGATGATAATACATTTAATTAACATATCTTGCTTAAAGTAAATATAAATAAAACAACAACTATAAAATAGAAATAGTTCAAAAATTAGACATTATTTCTAAAATACCAGATTTAAGTATAAAAACAAAAAGGAAGAGAATAAAAATAAAGTAAGAAGTGAGCAATAGCATCATTTTTTGAAAATTTATTAAAATTTTGAAAATTTATGAATATTTTTTAAAAATATTTAAGAAATAATGTAATTTTTACTTTATTTCTATCTTTCTTTTATTATTTGTTCTCTTTATACATATAATAGTTTATATATTTTTATATATTATATATTTTATATATATAATATATATTTTATATATTTATACATTTTTTTATAGTATTTTAAATATAATTTACAATTTTATATATATAATAGTTTTTACATTTTTTAAATACTTTATAATAATTTTATATAAATGTCATAATGATTAATTAAATAAAATTATTTTTAATTAAAATAAGATTCTTTTCTTCAAACGCGGCTTTATTTGTTTCATTTAAAACTTATTGATAAGAACGCCATTTGTAAACGATATCGAATGAATTAAATTCAAAGTTTACAAACGGCGCCAGGAATGACCGTTATTTGTAATGCTATGTGAATTAGATATACCATTTTAATTTATCATTTTTTTTAATTTATTTCATAAGTAATTGTTTTTCAATATTTATTTATCATAAGGCAGAATAACATAAATGTGATACGATAATAATTCATTAAATTTTTTCACATTGTTTTAACATATCGATTATTTGAAAACGATATTTATTTGAAAATGACAACCTCACTGGAAGATATTTTAGAAAAACAGTGTGAAAAATTACAAGATCTTAAAACTGCGACAATATTTATTAAAAGTAAGATTATATTTTAATTTTTAAATTATTTTATCAAAACAATTTTAGCATTTTGTTAGAAAATACATATAATTTTTTATATTTTATATTCAGGTAAAAATGCAATTAAAGAAGAATTCCTTAAAATGCGCATAGTACTTTCACAAATGTGTAATGGTATTGAACAGATAAGGAAAAAATTAGTTGATATGAGAAAACAAAATAATCAATGTAGAGTATGTTTCTTAATTTATAAATATATATAAATATATTCTTTAATTAATATTTTTCAAAATATTTTATTACTATTTCTAAAAATCAATCTGTTATAATTAAATTTTAATGAGAAAACTGAAAATTTTAGGAATTATTGTCATTCATTGAAACTTTGGATAAAAGAATCATTCATATGGAAAAAAATATTCCACATGAATTAATTCGTGACTATAATGAAATTGAAAATTCTTTATCAATGAAAAGTATATGCAAGAAAGAGCTTATACAAAAATCACCTATAATAATAAGAAATAAGAATGTAGAAAAAGAAAAGACTCCAATAAAAGATTGTAAAAAAATATTATTTAACGAACTTGAAGTTTGTCCTACGATATCTTTGATAAGTGAAGATGAGTTCAATAAAGTTCCAAAATATATTATTGGAAGACAATCTTTAGAAACTGTAAATGATTTCATAAATACTATTAATCACATTTTAAAAACAAAATATACATTTTTATCATTGGGAAAAGCTCATGCAAGAAAGCAAGGAGATTTAAATCTTTATTTGCACTATAAAAAACAAGAATTAGATTTATGTAATGATTCTGGTAAGATTTTTTTTTTCATATATTTATATATTTCATATATTTTATTTAAAAAAATATAAAAATTATGTTTCAGAATACATATATTTCTTTACTGGTGAAGATTATGAAAAACAAATGAAGTCTAAATTAAATAAAATAAAATTAAATCTAATAACAGTTTTACGACATTGCAAAAGATTAAGAGAACATAGGATAAAAAACGACTTGCGATATGTAATATTAACAAAAAAATAATTGCTTAAGTTTTAAATTAAGTAATAAAATAAAAAGATTGCATAATAAATTGTTTCATTGTACAAAGAAGTTAAACATATAATTTTATATATTTTTTTTATAAGTTTTATAATAATTTAAATGATACATATTTTTATGTGTAATCAATACTATTGTAAAATATATTTCTATTATTCCATCTCTTGTTGCTATTTTATTTTTTAAATTTTATATAATATTTTATTGTAACAATTTTAAAAATTGTTACAAAATTTATATTTGAAATGTTAAATAAAGAAAAAAATAAATTTTTAATGTTAAACTCAAAAAATTTTTTGAGATTCGCTTTTGTTTTGGTCGTCGTGACAGCATGTTTACCGGAAACTAAAGATTAGACTTCCTATCGAATTGTTTCGACGATACAAAGACTCAAGTTTAGTTTGCCATGAAAGAATTCTTCCCTTTTCATTTCCAAGGAACGAGGTAATCTGCTCTGAAATACTTTCGATAATACACTATACTTGCGAAGACAAGACTAACTGAAACTATCATTTTTTTTTCAATTATTTAATAGTAATCTTATGGCGTAACAATAATTTTTAATAACAATAATTTATTTGAACTAGAAGATTGTAATATAACTGTTAAATTTTAAAAATGTGATATTTAAAAGATTATATTTAGAGATCAATTTATTAAAAAAAAACGATTTAAAAAATAAAAATAACTTTTTATATGGTATATGAAGAAATAGAAAAAATTATAAATAATAAAAATATTTTAATTTTATATACTTTTATATAAAAAAAATATTGTTATAGAACTATATCATATTTGATATGATATTTCAAATAGTTTAAATGAAAATTAATTCATTATTTAATTTTCCACTTTTGATATTTTTTTAAAAAAAACATAGTTATTAACTTTCTAGATAAAAAGAATTGGTAGATATCTAATATGAACTGTGGAAAAACGGAATCAATTAGCACGTTGAGCGAACATGAAGATGATCTCGATGAATTTGAAGGATCAATTATTTGGTCCCAAGAGGAACCACTTTCATCAAATGAAATTTTAGAATTAACTCCAGATCCTGAAAAACAAAATCAATTAAAATCTTTATGCCGTTTATGCGCGGGAGAAACTTTACACCCGATTTATATTTACTCCGAATTCGGTGAATCCTTGAGACTTTTGCATAAAATAAATACATGTTTAAGTATTAAGGTAATTATTTGTTGAATCTTTTTGTAATGTAAATTATATAAATATATTATAAGTAAATTATAAATAAATTAGAAAGATTTAATTAGCACGATATTTCGATAACTACGTTAATCTTTTAATAAGCTAAGTATTATATTTTAGTAAGTAAAAGAAATTTTTTTTTTATTAATTGAAATTTTTTGTTATATATATATATTTTTAAAATAATAAATATTATTAAATATGAACATTATGATTTTTTCATAGGTAAAGAAAACAGATCCTCTTCCAAAACAACTTTGTCCAACTTGTGTTGAAAAGATAACTTGGTGTAATGAATTTGATATTCAATGTATAAGAGCTGAAGAAACTCTTTTTGAAATTTTAAAACAAAAACATTCTTTCAATAATACTAAAAATGATTGTCAGGAAAATTCTCAGGAAAATATAGATTCTTGTCCATTATGCATTGAAGGACGAATGAGAATTTATGAAGAGGATAAAGAAACCAAAAAAGATGTTGAATTGTATGATAGTGATATTGTTCTTGAGAGTAGTGATGAGGAACAAATTCCAAATGAAATTAAAATTGATGAAGAACCAGAAAATGAATCCATAACATTATTCTGTTTGGGTACTAAACAAAAATATTTGAAATGTGGAGCTTGTATGAATTTATATCATACAAAAGAAACTTTGGATGAGCACAAATGCAAACCTAATTTACAATGTACTTCTAAACCTTATAAATGTGATATTTGCTTTGCAACTTTTACATTTGAAGAACGGTTACAATTTCATCAACATTTTCATAAAGATGCAAAAGCATTATATTGTGAAATTTGCAAAATTACGTTTGGAAAGGAATTAAAATTGTTTTATCATTATAAAAGGTATTAATTATAGAATAGTTATAAGAAACCTATGACTTATGAGTTTATTTATTTTATTCACAGATATCATTGTAAAGATGGTAGAGTATCCTGCTTACAATGTGGAAAATTATTTGAAAATCAAGAAGGATTAAAAAAACATATTTGTGTGGATGGAAAAACAAGACCACATGTATGTGAAGTTTGTTCTAAAGGATTCTGTGATGGTTATACTTTGAAACGTCACATAGTAACTCATCTTCCAGAAAAACCATATAAATGTCCAGAATGTTCTAAAAGCTTCACACAAAAATCAAGATTGAATAAACATATAGCTGGGCATAGTATTATTTTTGAAAACAGTCAAACTATTTGGAGGTAATGTATTTCTTATAATGTATTTCTTATTCTCTTCTTTATCATAACTTATTTTTTATAATTTAAGATGCATTTGTTGTGGTGAAACATTTGGAAGTTGTGAATCTGCAGATGAGCACTGTAAAAAACATGAAGATAAAATTAGTCTTATAGAAGAAATGCAAGTGTTAAAGTTATATCATTGTGAATTTTGCAGCAGTCACTTTGCAGATATGGACCATTTAAAAAGTCATAGAGAATCACATGTTATTGAAAAACCATATTCTTGCAATCATTGCAATTCTATATTTAAATCTTTCGCAGAGGCTGTTCTTCATTGGAAAGAACATCCAAGAATATTCAAAGTTTTAGTAGTGTTTTTGTGTGAAATATGCAACAGAGATGTTAAAGAATTATCTTTGCTTTATAAGCATAAACAAAAAAGACATCAACCAGTACCTAGAAAATCAGAAAAGGGTAAAGAAAAGTTCATTTGCGAACTTTGTGGAAGTATCTTTATAAGTATTGAAGATTTTCAAGAACATGGAAAATACAGATGCTCTAAATTCCCATGTGATATTTGTGGCAGTCTTTTACCAACAGCAAATTCTTTGAATGCGCATAAAAGAAGACACAGTGGGCTACGACCGTATATATAATTTTTTTTATTTTAGGTTATGTCAAATTTTCCAACTTTCATAATTTTTTTATTCTATAGGTATGTTTGTAATATTTGCGGTAAAAGTTATACTCAATCCAGTCATATGTGGACTCATAAAAGATTCCATATGGGTGTAAAACCTTATGCCTGTGAATATTGTGACCAGCGATTCACAATAAAGCCAGATCTAGCTGATCATACTAGAAAGAAACATACAAGAGAACGACCATTCAAATGTGATGTTTGTAACAAAGCATTTTTAACTGGTTCTGTATTTTATCAACATAGACTAATACATAGAGGAGATCGCAGATATAAGTGTCATTATTGTGAAAAAGCATTTACTAGGACAGAAGCTTTAAATAATCACATAAAAATTCATACTGGTGAAAAACCACATGCTTGTGATGTTTGTGGAAGATGTTTCAGACAGAAAGGAGATATGAGAAAACATAGACGAACACAACATATTGCTAAACAAGATGCAAAATAGGTTAAGAATTAAAACAATTATTAAATAATTTAATTTAAATATTTTGTTGTAATTTTTCGTTGTAATTAATAATTTTCATACATGATGTTATGTTATGGTTAATAAAATGTAAATAAAAGCATAATGATAATGACACGTCATACTTTTAAAAAATTATAAATAATGAATTTTTTAAAAAAAATGTTATTATTTTAAGGTTATGAGAATATTAAATTTATAAGATAGAGTGAAAAACATTATTAAATAATGATATTATAAAATGTTCTAAATTTGTATTTCTTTAAAAATAGGCGCGATGACAAGCATAAACAGGTGCGCAGATGCAACTCGTACAGAACAGGTGATACGACTGATGTCTCGTGATTCGTATGAGAGAACCTTACGGTTCTAATGAGTTACGATTGATATAGATAAAGATTGCATACATATAAAGATTGATTTTAATAAAATTGAAATGATGACGAACTACAGATAAAGTTATTTCTTAAGGTGCTTCACGTACCTGATATTTTCTTCGTAAGTCCATGTTCAATCACATTTTTAATTTTGATTCAAATATTCATTGATTCTGTCAACTTAGATATTGTGGTAAAATAGAATATACAATCAATTAAATTTGATCAATGTTTCTTTAAAATATTTTATTTAATAATCTTATTCGTCAATGACACATACTTAACCTAATTAAATTTGACATATGTATATTATCGTAGATATAAAGTTTATATATTTTTTTAAAAATAGTGTAGTTACATTTCAAAAAAATAATATTGATAATTTTTTTATTACGAGGATGGAAATAAAGAAAAGAAGTCTAAATTTTATTTTATTATTATTATTACATTAAAAAATAAATATTTACGTTAAAAAATAAATTTGTAATTTTAATTTACAAATTATACAAATATAAATAATTTTTTAGGATCCCAATGAAGAATGGCATTTCCTCCGCTAGTTAGTTCTACACCTCCTCCTTTAGATACTTTTGGAGATTCTGAAGAAGATGAATTTGGTGATTTTACAACTGGAGGCATAGATGGTAATTATAACACTTCTTGTAGGATATCTTTGTCTTATGTGTTAATATTTACATTATAGGGTTATCTGTGTCATCAGATTCACCACATAAACTTATTACACCAATTCAAACACCTTTAACATCACAAAATACGTCACCAAAACTAAATGGTATTCCAGAAAATTCTAAAAATTCACAAACAATTATTCCAATTGTTCCAAAACAAATAATTACAGAAGATCTTCTAATTCTTGAAAAAATTAATGATACTGTAAATAATATCAAACTTAAAACAGAAGTTGAAAATTTTGATGAAATAATAGAAGATAATAGTAAAAGAAACTTGGAAAATGTAAACAATAATAATAAGGAAGTTATAGAAAGTAAGGTTTCTAATGGAATTCATTTATCTAATGAAAGCAATAATTTTAGAGAAAGCGAACAAGAAACTTCTCTCAATAAAAATTTAGAAAATGTAGAACCTTTATCTCTAGATTTAGAAGATCCGAGTATTGCTCCTGACATAATACAGTCAATAGATGATGATTTTTATAATTATGAACAGTTTGTGGTTTCAAAAAATTGGATCC